GGGGGCGGAGAGAGAAAGGGGTAAGGAAATTGCGATAGCTTGATAATACGAAGAAAGATCCTTGAAATGCTCTTCTATGTCAGAGGAAGTATTGATACTTTCGGTTCTCAATGTAAACAAAAAGTAGGCCTGAAGTTAGAAGTAGTGGATAGAAGCACACGGAACTGTCAGAATGACTCGACAATAATTTTTAAATCCTGTTAAAATATGTTTAAGTAGGTAAGCTATGAACACGGGCTTGGTCATATTTTGCTTGCAGCCATTCAAGCTGTTTAGATCTTGTACTCAAAGAATCAATCGTATCAAACAACAAGTCGTCAAATATCGTTCGCTATCGCTACTATTCGCGACAGCTTCGTGTTTAAGAGTCTGTAGTAGTTCCAGTCAGTATTCTACTCATTGCCTTTCTCTAACACCAGGATATCCCAGTTGCCCGGTTTCAACATCTTCTGAAGTATCCAAAAGCGTTTGCCCAGACGTCCAACCTTCTCGAGTGTTTTCATATTGGAAAAACTCGAAGGGGACAACTCGTCAAAGTTTACAGTCACAACCACAGGCTTCTTTCAGCACAGAAAAACAGACCATGCCAGAAGTCAAAGAGGAGAAATTCTGTTCTGGTTTACCCAAAGACTTGTCAGTTCATGCTGCTCACATAACCGAAGTACACAATGTTCCCATGAAGGTTTTGATTCGCCCTTTCCCCTCTGTGTTGGATGAAGACAAAGTTCTATCTCTGATGGAAACCATACAGGTAAGAAAAGATAAGTTCTGTTCACATTTTTTGCTTGTCCACAGGTGAAGGGGCAACTTTAAAAAACCAAAGAGAGGCATGTTGGATTAACCCCTGATCCCAATTCTTAGATCATTTTTTAAAAATTCTTTTGTTATTACATGTTAGTAGAAGTTAGATTTCTAGTCGAGCACAGATTACTCACTATGAAACTATGAACAAGCAAAACCCGAATTCACAGAAAGCTCAAACAATATATACCATTCCCAGACTGAACTGAAATGTTTTCGTTGTATTAGCAGCACTGTGTTCTTGAACATCCATACACATGTGCAGAAAAATTCATCACAATAAGTCTTCTAAACAAATGTTTCCTCATTAATTAGTTTTTATTGTCTCGAATTCAAGTTGCCTTGTAAGCATGATGGAAAACAAACACATTCCCGTCAAAATCCAGGGTATGTGGTTACACGAGCCCTCCAGGCTTACCCCCTCACAGCATGATACATGATACACTGCGGCATCAAGATGCATCTGTAGCGTTACTTCAAGTCGTTCTCCGGCACGTGATGCTTGCTCACGCTTCGTTTTGAGTTATCATACTTAACCGTGTGGGCTATATATAAATGTTCGATTGTTTTTAGTGTTATTCGCTTGCTGGTATAGTGTGCTTCAGACTAGGCCTACGCCATGTTCAACGATAAATCTGTGTGATGTGTGTTGGTATTTTAACGACTTCAATCTATATCACAGCCTTTCTGGAGATCTTACAACTTTACACATCATTGCACATCGTAAGGCGATAAGAACTCCCTTGCATCTAGCCATGTGAGGGTGGGGATGTGATTGAAGGCACTAAACAGATTATGTGGTGCTGCTTTGGGCTGTATGGTGTGTGAATTTTTTTATGCTTTTGGGCATGTGTGTATGCTTGTGTGTGTGTGTGTTTGAACGTGAAGGACTGAATCGGGAAGTGATTACACACTAGAGGGATAGGTGGCGTGCTCTGACCAGTAGTTTTTATCATATGATCTGACTATAGCAATTTTTTTTTAGCTGTAAGGCTCATCAGCATCACTCTTTTCTTTCTTTTGCTTCAACACTGAACATGCTCTCCATCCTTTTCTATCTTTTATTGATACCAGGTACAGTTACTTCGCTTGATTTTAACTCCTTATCTCCGGCAAGCCGCTCCTTTATGATGAATTCAGGATTAAATTATTTTTTGGCAATTGTCTCGCATTTATAGGGAGTTATTTCATGTAGGCCCGAGAAGTCCGTTGCAGTCGCTCTCCTGGCTGGGTGACCTAATGGGGTATTTTGTGCTGCTGGCTGTGTGACTGCAAAGTGTTAAGAAGAGACCAGAAGTTGGTGTCTTTATGATGAAAAGTAAGCCAGTCAGGGCATCAAAAGTAACAGTTAGTGAGTGTGAGAATTCTCATGTCTTTGACTCTTTTTCAGCTTGTTGTAGACAAGTTTCCAAGCATTCACACTTCATAATTGTCCTCATCAAAATGATTTTTTGTTCTTTTTCTCAGAACCCGTCAATGGCAGACAATGTTCCCCCGATTGACATTTTGTGGGTCACAGGACGACAAGGTGGAGACTATTACTACTCTTTTGGTGGCTGCCATAGATACGAGGCCTTCAAGAGATTGAAGAGGGAAACGATTCCTTGCAAGATTGTGAGGACAACAATGGAGGATATAAAAACGTATTTAGGAGGTTCCATGCCAGATCTGCTCTGATGATTTTTTTTCTTCTTTATCGTTGTAAGAAAACTAATGATTTGCTGAAAAGCTAAAGTAAAAAAGAATTTTCAGGGGTATGTCGTCTAACTCTTTCTAATGACCCTCAAGTAACGCAAATTGTCTAATCTTACACTCTTAAAAAAAGTGAGCACTGAGAGAGACATCACTATAGTACTGTTTGTAATGCCTAGGTAGCAAAAAGTTCTGCTATCTCACATTTTTAGCCATTTTGAGTGAACAAAACCATGAGATGAGAAATTAAATGCTCTAGCTGCTGTAGGAAAATTGTAAGATTATTCTGAGTCGATATAAAAATATTCAAAGAACTGCATTAAAAAAAGCTTGAACTGTGAAATTCAAAAATGTTTTACACACATCAAATTTCTAAAAACTAGGCACTGAGTAAATAAAACTTGGTCATTCTTAGGTAGCAATTTACCACACACACAAATAGGCCTACACACTGTGTATAATGATGTAATATGTAGTGGTCCAGCAAATTTCGACTGTGGCTTTTATCTGGGTGCTTTGTATTTTTGTACTCTGCTGGCAGAAATGTTCACTTACATTTAATGATTGTTATTGAAAGAGATTTATTTATGATGTTCACATATATTGAGAAAATGCTAATTTCTTCTGTTCTATTCATTCCACATTTCTGTGATGTTCTGACAGCAGCTGGGAAACTATAACATACTATAAATCAGCACCAAATCAAAAACAACCTTTTGGGGGAGACAGCTGATCTTTTCTACAGAATCCCAGTCTTTAGTGATTAAAGTACCTTTTCTCTTTCCATTAGTATGAAAAAGAAGTGTCTTGGAAGGATCTCATGCAGCATGCTAATTCTGCAATGGTCCATAACAGTCTTGACCCACTAAGTCTCCCATGTTTTGTCTGTGGGTCAATTCTTTTTTCTTCTTAGGTTTGGGTCATTTAAATTTTATACCATTCAAATGTAAAAGTTTTCGTGGTAATCGTAGTTTCATCTACTTTTCTTTTCTTTCAAGAACATGTTTTGTATGTTTCTGGTTTTCCAGCAATTGCTACCCACATGTTAGTGATAGTTTGACAGTTGTGTTTTGTGTTAGTGTAAAAAGTCACTTCACATTTCTTTTTCGTTGCAATAACAGCTACAGCACACCTGGAGGAAGGTCATAAATGCAATTGTGTGTCTGTTACTAAATATTTGACTGTTTTACTTTGTGATCATGGTGTTGTTACATATCATCCATGAGTGATAGATTTTGTGATATTCACAGTAAGATTGGATATTCTGATTAATGTAAAGAGGTTATTAAAATTCTATGTCCGATATATTGTTATGCCGTGTGGGAGAGTTTTACTTTTGTTTTTTTACTGTCCTTTCAACACTATGGAGGCTGTTGCTCATGGAAGAGGTACAAAATGTAATAGTTTCTTATATTATGAAGACTAAGAGAGAGGAAAAACTCAAAAAGAATAAACTCTAATAAAAATGAACTTCACTGCGACTCAAAGCTTTGGAATTCTAAAATTAATGATTTAACTAACTTGGATCTTTTACTTGCAAGGTTGTCAAATTGTCCTCCGGAGTTCTGTTTGCTTAACCCTATTCGTACATCGTGTTTTACTATGGTATCCATATGATGTGGGGAACTCTGTGCCGCCACTTTCCAAAGAGGAGATTTACTCGTTAATCAAATCCGTACGCTTTGCATAGCAGTCTGTCCAAATGATTTTTTTAGAAATACTGAAAATTTCAAAGAGATCTTCGTACTATACTATAAGTATTCTAAAATGTGAAGAAAACAACCCTGGGGGTACAAAATGACCCTAGGGCGTACGGATAGGGCTAATGATCCATTTCATTGCCAACGTTGCTGTTGTCTAGCATTGCTTTCAACACCTAAACTTTGTGATATATACATGTAAATAAAAGCAACTATTTATGTGTCCCCCCCTTAGTTTTCCACTTTCTGAATTTAAGTGTGTGTAGGCCATTCCCAAAGGGGGACATTTACTTGTTCTTATGCACAGTAGCATTGTAAATGGGCTGATTCAACAATGTCATGCTCATAACTGTGCCTAAGCTGCAACAGGGAACTGCTACTTTTTCTTTCCTAATCCTTACTATCGTCATTTTTCCTCTACTTCTTTTGTATGTTTGTCAAAATCTTGTGACCCGCTATTTCCGGGGTGCCTTGATAGTCGAAGCAGACTTTGTGCTCTTGAAGCTAGAGAGGTGAGCAGAGTAAGCCTGATTGACAGTGATTCTTTGTAAAGATGTCTCTGTTGACATCCTCCCCTTGGCACTCATATGACCTGATGCAGTTGCGAACGCCGTAAAACCTCTACTAAAGCAAAAGCTATTTGTGTCTCGTTTTCATTTCTGCAAGTTCAATCTACATTGACTGATTCTATTTAATTTATCTATAATTCTGGTGGCGCCGACCTGTGTGTCGCTTTTTAGAAGAAATCACGCATTATGATTTTGAACTGACTAAAGAAATTTATATGTGTCATGACGTGGTGGAATCAGGCGTTCGTCAATTTGTGGGCGTATGAAGTTATTGGTATCATCTTAAAAGACTGTCCATTTGCCTTGCGTTTTATGGAAAAAATATCCATTTATCTTTTGCACAAGTCAAGATATGGGCGAGTGAAGGAGGTGGGGGTGCCTGGTTTGCGTTATTTCTGTAGCTTGAGATTCCGTGAAAACTGAAAATTAACATCGTTATTGCTCGTCGAAAAATTGTGGACTCTCCCTTTTCCTGAGAGTGAAATGCATGTCATGCAATGAAGACATTTCTTCTTCCTACACCTCACAGAAGTGTGACAGCAGGGTGTTCGAAGTCAACCGCCGAGCTGTCGCTACAGCATTAACGACTGGCATGGGACATGCTGGCCTCAGCAACTTTGCTGAGATGATGAACATGCCAACAGTTCATAATAAAACGTTTAATTCTCACTTGAAAGTAGTGAGAGAACAGTCTCGTACTTATTCTGAAATGATGCTGGATAAAGCTGTTGAACAAGTAAGGTGTGCCTATCGAGAGGAGACTGGAGCTGTGAAGAACATTCACGTGTCATACGACGGTACCTGGCACAAGCGTGGACACACATCAAAATCTGGAATCGGTTGTGTGATAGAAAGGAGGACAGGTTTGGTGGTGGATTACCAGCTTTTGACAACGTATTGTGCGACATGTGCCATTACCGGTGAGAAACTGAAGAGGGAGAGCCAGGAGAAGTATGACAGGTGGTTTTCTGTTCATAAAGCAAATTGTGATATAAACTATGTGGGGACAAGTGGGGGCATGGAAAAGGAGGCAAAGATCTGTCGAGAGGCATGGCCTACGGTATGTCTCCATGATCAGCGATGGAGATTGTAAGACAATTTCCGAAATTCAAAAGGTTGATCCTTACCCAGGCCTCACGGTTGAAAAGCATGAGTGTATTAATCACGTAGGTAAACGGATGGGTACGAACCTGCGCAACTTGGTGAAGGCAAAATCTAAGGAGAAGCCCAAAGCAACACTAGGGGGCAAGGGGTATGGCAAGATGAGACCCGAGGTCATTGGGAAACTGCAGAAGTTTTACGCCAACGCCATACGTAGCAACAAGACAGTTGCTGATATGCGCCGTGCCATCATGGCAACACTCGAACACTGCCGTTCTACCGACAGTTCTCCGCACCATGACTTATGTCCACAGGGGAATGAGTCGTGGTGCTTCTACCAGAGAGCCATCACTCAAGGTACTTCGCCACTACCACACAAGGAGGCTCTACACACACCCCTTAGCCAGGAAGTGGCAGAGGTCATAAGGCCACTGTATGAGAAAATGTCGAGCGACGATCTGCTCTCACGCTGTGTCCTGCAGTCGACCCAAAACGCCAATGAGAGCGTGCATTCGGTCATCTGGGCACGTTGCCCAAAACATATTTTTGCCACACGGCCGCGACTTGAGGTTGCTATTTCTGTTGGGGTGGGGGAATTCAACTTTGGATCTGTTTCGTGCAGAGACTTTATTCGTAGTTTAAAGTTGAGTGTGGGCAGTGAGACAAAGCGTCATGGTTTGAAAAGGGACTGTCGTCGGCTGCAAAGAGCTGAAGATGCGAACTGTTCGAAAGCTAAGAGATGGAGAGAGACGAAAGCTTTAGCAAAACAGAGAGAGGAGGAGAGATTAAAAGTTGTGTATGGAGAATTCTATACTCCATGCAGGGGGAGGAGATTAGTATTATTTGCATTGTTTTATATGAAATATCTATGAAGCGCTTATTGTTGTCGCGCTTGGTCATTTTTGTGTTTTTCTCAAACTGCCGTTTTGTCCACATCATGCTATTTGGGAAAGACAATATCTCCTACATTTATGCACTTATTACTTCAAAATTTTGCATGCTTATTCAATGTTGCTATTCACATATCTGTATCAAAGCTTTTTGATGTATTTCGTTTTCTCTTTGAGTTATGAAAGTTTTCATTTCTGTTTTATTGAGCTCAGCGGAAGGTCGTTTTGCGGAGATGGGTGATAAAAAGTTCGAAATTATGCCATGTTCTTTATCAGGACCATTGAATTTTTATTGCATTTCCATCTGAGATATTTATTCTTTCAAAGAAATCATGTTTGTACCATCTGAATGTCCATTCGGTTGATGTTGTAGGCGTATATTGGGTTTCTTTTGTTCTCTCAAAATGCCGTTTTTGCCACAAGTTATATGACTGGGGGTACAATATCTCCTAAAGTTATACACCTATTACTTTAAGATTTGGTATGCTTTTTCTATGTGGCTATTCACATGTATGTACCAAGGCTTTTTGGTGCATTCCAATTTGTTTGTGAGTTATGAACATTTTAATTTCTGTTTCATTGAGCTTAGCCGAAGGCTGTTTTTTAGGGGGGTGGGTTATAAAAAGCTTGACATTATGCCTTGTTCTTTATCAGGACCATTAAATTTTGATTGCAATTCCATCTAGGGTCTTTATTCTTTTAAAAAATTCATGTTTGTATCGTCTGAATGTTCATTTAGTTGATGTTGTAGGCGTACGTTGTCGGTTTTTTTTGTTTTTCTCAAAATGCCGTTTTGGCCACATACTATATGCTTGGGAACACAATATCTCCTAAAGTTGTGCTCCAATTACTTTAAGATTTGGCATGCTTATTCTCTGTGGCTATTCGCATAACTTTACCAAGGCTTTTTGGTGTATTCCAATTTGTTCTTTAGTTATGAAAAATTTTATTTTTGTTCTATTGAGCTTCTCCGAAAGCTGAAAGAACAGGATAAGTCCTGGTTCATAATTTTATTAATAATTGCGACAGGAAAGAATGGCTTGGTAAAGTTAAAGGTTAGGATATTAACTACTTTGTGGCAAAAAATCAGGCCTGTAGGTCCATAATTGACAGAGTTCTAGTGTTCCCAAGCAACATTGCAAATATGTGTTCGATTGAACCCATATGACTACACAAAGGACACAAAAATAATTTTGAATCAAAGGTATCAGTTGTTTTAGGTCTTTTTCAACACGATATTCATAATCAAACAGAATAAAATTGGTTTAGAGGCCATGTTCTAAAAAATTGGCCTTATATTGGATACATCCCCTTAAATCAACGTTTTTCTGTCAAATCTACACAGAAATGTATCCTTTAATGGGCATTAAATGTGTTGAGCCAAAACACAAAAATTCTATTTAATTCTATTAAAATTCCAAAACATGCGGGGGAAATGCCAGTTTCTTCACGTTCATTATTTTGACAAGAGCCTGATTCCATCATGCTGCCTCACATATTATAGATTTCAATCACTATGAATTTTTAGAAAATACCCCAAAATTGAACCTTTGAATCCTTATTCCACTATTAATAAAAGTGAGCACCCACTGTTGAGTATAGGTACATATGTGGATAAAAGCAAGTGGGAATCCTCAAAGGATTGATATTATAAGTACAGGATGTATCAAAGAGTCACTGGACTGCATTTCTCTATTCAGTTTAGTAGCACATTGCATTTGCTACTCATGTCAGCCCGCACACATGAACGGACAGAGTGAAAACAAGGAAGTATTCACAAATCAGATGCGTTGTTTTGAGACCTATGTAGCCCAATGTCTTTTTAATACAAACAAAAAGAAGTTCAGTCCCGTGACCTTTGAGACATCTTCATTAGTAACTGACGGCATTAGGTTAATGTGATACTTGTTGTTTTAGTGAGCTATAGAGGAATGGCTCCTTGTTGATTGCAGGTTTAGTCCCACTGCATGAAGTGAACAAACTGCTTCTGTGCTGTAATGATTAGGATCTTCGCCGCTGCATGCAACAGGCTGGAGTTCACTTCCTGTGTGGAGGAATGTATTTTATCGGGTTTTTCCTTCTTTCTGTTGGGATTCTGTATGCCTGTCCCCGTCGTTTTATGCAAGAAAAATTCCAAAATTATACAAACTGAGCCCAAAAATGTAAAATTAGGCGATTCTGTTCTTTCTTAACAAAGAAAGGTAAATAAAGGAAAATAATCAAAAATTATGCAAAAATTGATCAAATTTCGCTAAATTATGCGGGGTGCTTAAAACCACTTGCACAGGTATGCCCTCCCAGTCTAGGTTAGCCCTGACAGTCAAAACAAAGTTACAAAAACACTATGGAAAAGAAAGGGTGCATACCCTGCTTCCACTCAAGAGATTCTGGATAAAATTAACACTTTGCGGTCACATCTCGCTAATCGGTGATGTTTATCACTCAGTTTCTTTGGATGTTCCCCAAAATGTCTTTGCCTTTGATGGCAAGAGTTTTTTACTATTTTATTCGAGCCTTGTGATGGCAAAGTGTTAAATGAAAATGTTGTGTTAATCAGTAGGATAATTTTTATGTGCACAGAATATTTCTTTCGAAAAACTCAACACTGCTTTTGTTTTTAAAAAGTAGGTTTTTAGCCAGTTTATTTAGCATAGATACATGTATAGCTAATGCTACAGATTATAGCATAGACTTATGATATATATATGGAAATTAACGAAATTGACATTTGCTGAACTATGTAAATGTACGTCACGAAAAATTGAAATGCAGAAACTAGCCTGATTTACTTGAAATTTGTTTTTGACAGTGTAGTTTTCCAATAACTCAACAAGAAGAATCAAACCAATGACAGAACAAGAGGAATCAGTATAAAATACAAAGTAAAAAACATGTTCTGCTCAGTTTAGAAGTTGTTTTACTTCCCCCCCTTCTAAATTTCTCCAAAGCTTTCAAGCGAGTAGCTTGCTCAAACAAAATTGCATGTGAATGCAGTTAAAATCTTGAACAAACTGCACTATCACTCATTCTTGTACTCACACTCACTCACTCTCCCAATAATTCCCTCACTGACATACTCAAATTTTCCCATACATGCATGCACACATAAACACATGAATTTAAATGCATATATATTAAATACACAAAAATAGGCCTACATGTAAAACCATACTCTTAAACTCCCATAATATGCAAGTACACATACAGACATGCTCTAGCACACATATGCACACACACCACTCTTATCTGAGAGAAGCATTCTGACTCTACAACTACAAGTATATTATGCAGTCATATAATATGTATATATATTGTACATTATATATATATAAATTCTAAAAATAACAATTCGCATGTTGTCATGCAGCTCTACAGAATTGAGCATGTGTCCTTGAAATTGTCTTTACATAAACATACATTTCTTTGAGAGCTGCCTGGATATACTTTTCTTCGTAGTCTTATTTGCAACAGAAAAATTTGTTCTTAATTATATTGAAGTTTAGCTAAGTGTACCTGTTAGACTGGGAAAATTGGACAGTTATGTATCTTTCTTATTCAAAGGGTAAATTTGCGATGGTATAAAAATTCAACATTTCGATGAGAATCTGTTTATAACTGATGATAGTTGATCTTCCTATTTATAGATCTAAGTGTAAGCATACAAACGTGTAGAAAACAATTACGTTACAGATTAAAAGAAGAGAAAGAAAACATTGAAATGGAAGTTACTGGCTTCCAGAAAACTATGGCCTGGTTTTATCTCCAATGCTATTAACTGGGATGGGACTAAGCAAAAAACAAAATGACCACCAGTCTTGGTGTGTTAATACTAGGAACACATAAAACATCAGATAAGACTTTCGCTGTAAATGCCACTTCTTTGACAGATGTAGGAAGGCCCAATCTAATATGAGGAATGAGGACAAAGAGATAATTAGAAAAATGTCTCATGAAGAAATGAAAATAGAGATATAGGCCTACATGAAATGGACGTGGGAAGGTGAAGGACATCCATACTACCTCAACCACCTGGCAAATGCTTCTCTATCGTATCATAAGGATGAGAAAAACAGATGATTTTGGTTGAAATATTTGTTGATGATAGAGAGATTCAAGTGAGATGAGTTTTATTTTCTAATTCTTTAAATGCCAGAGGGTTTTCAATTGGTTGTGCCAGACCAGTGTTTTGTAAATGTAAAAGAAAAAAGCTGCAGGTGGTATTGGGTGAGGCCAATTACCAGAATTATTTTACCAAATATAGAACACAATTCATTATCAAAATGAAGGAAAAAAAGAATAGAGAACAGAAAGATCATGTCTGATTTTAAAAAATACCCTGGGTCTGTGCATTGAAAAGAGGGTCTTTTTTGCAGAGGAGATAATAATACTAATAATACCATATCAATGACAGATGGTTGATTTTCACTGGCACAGCATTGTATCTCCAGATTGTGGATAGGCATGGAAAAAGTTAAATAATAATTTACTAGTCTCATACTCAACACTCATAGTATCATTCAAACATGGCAAAATCGTACATTCTCTAACTTAAGGGTCGTGAGATGATGGCAACAAGTAAACAAAAGTAAATCCATAATTTTGAAAACCCTGCATATTGTTTAAAAATAGTTATCCCATAAAGTTCATTATTCATGTGATGGGAAATATCCACTGACAAAGAGCTGTACATTGTGTGAAGGGAATCAGATCAGGCATGTACATGTCATGGAAGGCTCAAGTGTGTATGATATATCTACTAAATAGCTACAAGACTCATGTCGGAGTGTTAACACTATATTTGCTACTTATCCAAGTTTAACTAAAGTCATTGTCATGCACTTCATTCTCTCATCAGACAGACACATCTCTACCTTAGTTAGACAAAGTTGTATCTGACATTTTTGGCAGTTTTGGGTTACTAAGACCCTGAGGCCAGAAACCAAATGTGCTATCTCCTTTATCAAAATCGTAAAATTATTCGGAAATGTTACCAAGATAGTCAAAGAACTGCATTCGAACAAGCTTGACGTGTTGTGAAACTCAACATTTTTTACATCAAATTTCTCAAAACTAGGTACAGTACAGATAAAACTTTGTAATTCTAAAGTAGCGACATGTTAATCCCACACATAGACACATGCTAAGTGTTGTTAGTATAATTATAATATACTTGCATCTTTATGGACTTCCATAACAACACTGTCAGTTGTTGTCACCACCGTTGCAGGTAATGGATTTGTTACAGTGTTTTACTCAAGCCCGTTGAGATATATTTACAACCTGCTAACTGAATCTTACTTTGGTTTAAAGGAAACATGAAAATTAACCCAGAAATTTCCATTATATATAACTTGAGATAATTGTGTTTTATTTTATCTGTCCATCTTTTGAAAGAGAAGGGGTGATATCTGTAGTAAAAAAGAAAATGTTAATGTCTTACATCCACGTCAACACAATTTAGATCAAATGTAAGAGGCGGGCTGCTTTGATCTGTCTCTCAGAGCCAGTCTAGTAAGAGGATACAACATCCCAGCAGATAGACACTCGATAAAAGCGTGCGACAGCTAAACACTTAAATTCTACACCACGGACACTGGTCATCTTTAATTCATGTTTTCAACCAAAGAACAGCTCAGGAGAAGAGCATACAGTATATATGGTTTGAGACTAGCACTACTTATTTGTCCCTCTACAAGCTTTCAAAGTTGGCAAAATTTGATACCATTACAAGAATATATGTTTGGGTTGGGGGCATGACACAATTATTGACGGTGTTATGCTCTAGATATGTAACTGGAAGAAAAAGGGAAATTATCTACAACTATAATAAAATCAAAACCATTGTTGAAATGAAATTGCCGGTCCTCAATGTAAAAATAAAGACTCGGCATGCACTTAAAATTGTGTAAAAATACTATTGACTTACCTATGTGTCAATTCTTATTACTAAAAATATTACAGTATAATCCGCTTATATCGACATTCTTTGGGAAGTGGATTTGATATTAATGTATAAAAATGTCGATAAATTAATGAAAATATAAAGCCAAAGAGGAAAAACCAAGGGGAGGTCAGCGGTAAAAAGACAACACTACTTTTTAAGCTGGTTGCTTCCCTTGAATGAATGTGATTGGGAACGTGAAGTGTGAAGCTAAGAATAGATTCTGGCTCCAACAATGATGATATAGGCTTACACAAAACTACACAATGAAACCAGAGATACGCTAGTAAACAGACTCGATCTCTGGTGAAACTAACAAGAGGCAGGGGGGGTTGGAGTTACGGTACTAAAGACAGAGCAGCGCGAGGCGTACACAACACACCAGCACAAACTTTGTTGTAGCATCCTTGTAAGGCCTGTTTATGGCCACTTGCTGGGGAAAATGGAAAGGCGAGGCACTGACTCACCGACCGTGCAACTTGCCCTAATGGGGAAGGGGAGTGAGCCATTGGGAGTGGGGGTAGGGAGGTGATGCCCCACGCGCAAGACTCTCACACCCAGGAAGCATGTCGATAAAGCTGAGTGGGCCGAAAAACAAGTCAATAGAAGAGAAATTGTTCAGTGAAGATAGTGAAGGAAATATTTCGTAATTGGAAAACATGTCGAGATGTCAAAATGTCGATACGGTAAATCGGATGTCAACATTAGTGAATTATACTGTAATTTTGAATCAGAAAAGGCTTTTTTACCTGTTGAAAATTTTCAAGAGACCAGTTATAGTTATACCGTTAGAGCAAAACACCATTGATTTATAAAATGCAAAGTTGACAGGGTCTTGTATTCAGGTGTAGATGGTGTTGTGTCGCCCCACCCTCCCACCAGAAATGGCTGACTGAGCCTCCCAACGTGACATGCCTGCGGGTGCGGTGTTGGACGGTGGGAGTGTGCTGGCCTGGACGGGATAGAAGGCCTGGATGCGGGCACGACGGGCCTTCAGGTGGGCTACACGGCTGCGGGCCTCCATCATCCGCTCGTTGGCCTCCGACAACATCTTGGTGTCCAGGGCCGCTTTGGCCATCGCCGTCTCCGTCTGTTTCATGAGTTGTCGGTGCTCCAGGTACTTCTTGACCGTGTTCTGTTGTTCTACCTCAGTCACCTGGAGGGAAAAAGTCGTAATAGTCAATGTGTGAGAATAAATACAAGAACAGAAAATAAGATTCAACCAAATGTACTCACTATACATCCATGTAATTATTGATATCTTTAAGGAAAAAATTGGTTTAGTGCTACATCTTCCCCATATTCCTGTATGGCACCGAGACCTGGACTTTAACTAAGAAAAAGGAAAACAAAATATCTGCATTTGAGATGTAGTGCTACTGCAGAATGAAAATTAGAAAGATACAGGACTTTGTTATATAAAACACCCCCAGGCCATTCTAAGGGAAATACTTGAAGGTGTGATGTGGGGCCAAAGGGGCAAAAGGTGAATAAAGAAAGAACAATGTGGACTGATAGCATCAAGGCATGGACTGGCCTTAGTATGACAGAGCGTATAACGGCAGCTAGAGACCGTAAGCACTGGTGGGTCATTGCACATCAACCTCTGAGCCAGAGATGACACTTCCTGTAACATGGAGTAAAATGAGAAATGGGCAGAGATAATGTGTTGAGATGTGGGTAGATTTTGACGATGTGATCTTCTATCTCCTCCATCACCTGGGTGGAGAAATCAGTGCATGTAATAGTTGATACAGGAGACGGGTGGATTTTAATGGTATGTTGAGAGGCTAGTTTCAATAAATGAGCCCAATCCTGAAAAATAGAAACATCCCAATGAACACCAAAATGAAAGTTCTGAAATGCTACGTTTGGTCAATCCTATATGGCTGTGAATGCTGGACAATCATTAAAGACAGTGAAAATAAAATAGAAGCAACAGAAATGTGGTTTCTTAGGAGACTGGAACTGGAAGGAAAAGAAATCAAATGAGGTAGTGCTTGATGAAGCCCACATGGGACGCTCAATGTTAAAAACAATCAGGAAACGACAAATGCAGTTTTTGGGACACCTGAATAGACTGTAATAGACACAAGGGTTTTGAATATCTAGCTCTCACTGGCAAAATTGAGGGCAAGAGAGGCAGGGGTAGGCCCAGAACAACATGCTTAGGGAACCTAAACAAATGGGTAAAAGGGAAAGATCAGGGAAATGTAGGTTTTTTGAGAACTTCCGAGCAAAGGAATGAATGGAGAACCATGATCACCGATGTCTGTCTAAGATCTGGCACTGGATGATGATGAGAGGTGATAGTATGGTTGTTTCAAAGGCAAGGCTTCTTCTACAACCTTTGGACCCATTCCTTTCTTCATTTGCTACATCATTCTTCATTAGCTACATCATGGATCCTGGGGAGGAGGGAGGAGCAGATGGCATTGTGCCAACTGCAATGATACCTGTAACCTATTTTTCAACCAAGTAAATAAGTAAGTTTCATAGGCTTCATGTGTCTGTATCTCTCATTGTTTGGCTCACAATTCCTCACCTTAGCATTGGACACAACATTCTCTTTCTGCGAGCGCACATCATCCGCTCGAGCCTGCCGGTCGTGACGTAGCAGAGCGTTTGACACAGACGTGTGTTGTGAGTTGAATTCTAACATGAAGGTGTGGTCAGCCCTGAAGGCTTTGTTGCCGTCAGAAGCTCGTACCTGGAAGCAAACAAAAATAATTGTTAGAATATATATTAATAAAATGATAATAAAAGTATCAATGATAATGCTAATGATATAACAATGATAACCATATACTATTAAATAAAGCTAAAACCATTTGTTTTTAACCTAAAGGCTTGGATGGAACCAAATGATATTTTAAAACTATGGCTTTAAAAAACAAAGTGCAATGAGATCATCTTGACTGCTCAGTGAAACACTCCACCAAACGCTACTTTTCAAAATGGCATATGGTGGACTCTGACACTAAGCAGATGATCTGTGGTCATGTAGTTTATTGAAAGAGGCATTTATTTTTTATTTTTTCTGCCCTTTACACCAATTGTATACAGCAGAATCCTGTCATAACGAGAGGGAGGGGACCAGTACGAAATGTCCGTTACAGCAGGATTCTCGTAAGGGATCCAGAAATAAATTCAAAGGAAATAATAAAGTAGGTCTAATCTATGAGTTTGGTGTTCTTTTTATTTCCTTTTGTTATCTCCTCTGATGATGGCTTTATTCAACATGACCTGTAGGTTTTACCTGATCAAAAATTGAATCAGGTTTCTTTCTCTAGCGTTAGCGATGTTGACACCTTGGCGTTGGCTATCAGAACGAAAGTTCTCTAGGTTAACTCGCCCGCTGTGTTTTCCCCCACCCCTCCACACCCTGTCACACTCACGTAACACATTCGCTCCATGATCCATCACAGCACTGTGACCTCTTCATCCCCGCATCGGAGAAGTGAGAGGCATGATAGGCCCAGATAATCTAGACTAGGCTGGTCTATCACTATCAGGCAAGGCATTCTGCTTCACACAGCTTGTCTGCACGTACCACACCCTCCCCACTCATTCGCTCCGGCCTTCATGGTTGGCACACATGGGCTCTCCCATTCTTTTGTTTCGCTTGATCACCAACAAGTTTCTCAACTGATGAGGTTTTCATTTATAAATGGCCTATGTGATATGCACAGCAGCAGCAATATTCCGCTATAACCAACTTGCGCGTTTATCTGATTGCGCTATAGCAGTATTTTATTTACAAAGATAAAGAAGGGAAAAAAAGGGGTTCAGAATAATGTCTTTACAACAGACTTCTCGTTATTTCAGGACTCGTTATAAGTGGACTCCACTGTAATGTAAAACTTGGATCATCAACTGCATATATATCGCAAGTCAGCCGTAAGAGAAGTGCATGTTGTTTAATCGCTTTGATATGGCCGCTGCATTGATAATAACATTTACTGCCATCTAGATCAGATGGTTTTGAACTAAGAAACAATTAGCACTCCCTCTTTTGCAATATCTTAAAAAGGATCCCGTCTCCTAAATGATTTAGATAGCTTTTATTAAAAACATTCAAAATCAAATTAAGCAGCTGGTTCTCCCTTACCTTCAGTAATTTCTAGAAAACAATCAGCACTTCCTTGTCATTTGCAATTTCTGATAAACAATCAACACTGTCTTGTCTTCTGAAATATCTGTTAATAATCAACATTCCCTCCTTTTTTACTTCTACAGTATCAATTAAAAAACAAACATCCCTTCATGCTCTGTAATATCTGTTTGACAATTGACACTTCCTAGTCTTTTGCACAACCCATTACAAGGACATGATGTACCCTCACCTTGTGTTCCTGCTGCTTGTCCAAGAAGTTAAGACGATTCAGTTCATGTTTCTCCATACGGTCGATGACTCGGGCCCGATCCATATCTCGGGTCTTGAGCACTTGAGCGCGTCGCTCGTCATGATACATGTTGATACGATCTTTGGCTCTCTGCCGCTCCTCACGCATGCCGAGAATGTTCTCCATCCTAGCAGCTGCCTTCTCTGCCTTTTCTCGTTCCTGAATAACACACCCAAAGACTAGTTCAGTTGATTGATGACAATTTACTATAGCTAAGAACTGTTCTCAGGGAAGCGTAAGGTTGGCACACCAAAAAAGCACTACAAAGACACTCTGAAAATGTCTCTGAAAGACTTCAACAAGAATACTTCCACATGGGAGAGCCTAGCTCCTGACAGACCCAGCCAGAGAGCAGGAGTCACAGGGGGCAGCAAATCATATAAGGCTTCACGAATAAAAAATGCTGCAACCAAGAAAGAATCCCGCAAGCTGCACATATCCACAAATGGAAGTAGCGTTTTTTAAAGGTTCAAAATGTGGCAAACTTTTCTAAACCAAAATCAGTCTAATCGGCCCCAGCAGAAGCCACAAGTCATCTTAACTTTTAATTTTTCTATTTCGCTGAAGAAATATTCTCCTCTGCAGATGTATTGGTCATTGTCAGACATTGACAGACGAGATTTTATTATTA